CATCTAGACACTGATGTCAAATTAGCCAGCAGCTATTGAAAATCAGTTAAGGGTTAGGAGTTGAGTGCTTACACCCACAATGTCTCAACTCCACAAACATGAAAGGATTAATGAAGTTTGGAGTAATTTATTATTTTGTAATGTGCATGAGTCACATATTTTGAATCAACCTCAGAACTTATTTTTTAAAGTTCTGGTATGTGGTCAACGCAAGCTTGCTCTAGCTATTTATTGTTACAGACCCTTCTCCTTTGTTATCACTTAAATCTTCCCATAGGTGAGGTCACTGTAGAATATGTAGGTTAATATAATATACAGTTTCATCATTTGAAATTATTATTTTTCATTTCATTAGGTACTTGTGCAACAAATTATTACAAGTCAGAAAAGAATATTAAAAATGTGTGTTGTGAATGGGCATGTGTGTGTATGAGTACTTATTGTCCATAAAACTATATGAAACAAGTTTAGTTTTGCTTGTTTTTGAAATTCTGTGGGTAATACATTATTGAATTTAAAACAGCATGTTCAGTTCAGGCTCATAAAAAAAATAGTAAAGTTTGCTTGTAACTGAACACTGTAGCTGAAAGCTACTTAGTACATTCATATTTTTGGATATTCCACCTTTCCATTTGCAAAAATTAAACTGTTCTCAGTATTTGAATACTTTAAACCACTTCATTCATCTAGAATAAGTTTGTATTGCTAATTATTAGTATTAGTCCACAGAAGAGAATAGTACTTGAATATTAGAATGAAGTTCATGGCAGGACTGAGTCCCCTTTTCTCCACTAGTCAGATAGCAAGAACATCCTTCCTTTTCAGACTAAGGAATGTTAAAAATTTCCTTCCATTTATAAAACATCATAAAATCTAAGGACTACAAGGAGTCTGTTAGTCTATCTACTAACTACACTTTAAAAACATTTAAAGCCAGCCCTTGTCATTCAAATGTTTATCAATCCTTCTCTTAAATTCACTGCATCCACCACATTTGAAGATAACCCATTTCAAAGGCCACCATCCTGATCAAGGATCAAGCCAGACTCCCTAAGCAGGGAAAATCACCTCTTGGAGTCCTCCCTTTAGGTATCAACTGGGAGAATTTTTGAAAATAGGGAGATTTCACATTTCTGTATCAAATGCAGTCAAACCATGCAAATACTGTTAAATAAAGGAAATGTTTATTTAGGAGTTAATCATATTCATTATATAGACACACACACATGCAGTTTGAAGCATTAAATAATTTTGATTTTATTCTTATTAATTTAAAAACTTAATTGAGTCACTGTTTCCTATCACTGTAATTACCATTGTAATAAGTTTCTGCAGTAAATGGAAAGGTCAATCTTAGATCACACATTTTGACAGATCAAAACTACACTGGGGGACTTTACAAGTATGTGGTCAAATGGTATTGTTGTGATTCCACTTTTTTGAACCACCTTTCTCACGCACTTTTCTATTGCTGTCAAGATGTAGCTGGGAACTTATGAACTTTTGGTTTGTAAAAATATATCGATTTCAGATCCTTGTTTTTATCTTGTTAATGGAATCACAAGATAAGTCTAGCTTCATCACAGTGACTATTCTGGATCAAAGGATTTTCTTTTTTAGCTATAATCTTTACTTTGTGGATGAAGGCATTGGCCTGTGTTGGTTTGGATGTCATTTCATGCCCAATTATTGTCGTAAATATTCTACTATATGAGTTTTCCACTTCCATGGATAGAATTGAGGGCTTCCTCTTGGAAATGTTGTATACTTGAGCTCTGGATTGGTTAACATTCTCAAGAGACAAGCATCTTTCTATGGAAAGTGCTTTAACAGGTTTTCCTCCACTAATAAGTCTATATATGGTGAACAATGCACTGTTGAATGATTGAAAATTTTCCATGAACCAAATATATTAGTACTGAATGTGTCATTCGTGGAACCACAATTTGCATTTGTAGCAGCACACTATATTAATCTATACAAATTGTTCTTACAAAATACTATTAAACCTGTGTACAAAGCAAGAAAAGAAATAACACTGAACTTGCAATGTTTGCCAAAAATGTTTTTAGAGTGACTGCTTTTAGGTCAGAGAAATAATAATTTTCTAGCTTGATATAATCTTCACAAATTGTTCTTATTAACATAATTTGGTTTCTATTGTCTATGTCCATGGCAATTTGTTTTATTCATTGGTCTGATGATTATTTTTATAGTTTGTGCTAAAAGTAAAAATCATTCAAGCATGGAAGGAGACTCACCTGCTAATACTAATGTTAAAAGAGGTAAGAAGAGTTTGTATTATTTAAGTTGAACAATACTACAATATTTCCTACATAGGTTTTCCTTTAAATAGACATACTTAATACGTAGTGTTTTTCTCAATTCTAAAAGTCATCATTTTATTTATATATATAATATTTTATGCTTTTAGAAAATATCATTATCTAGGACAAAATGACTCCTGAATACAAATTGAATATTAGTTTTTAATAAATATCCTTAATAAACTGTAATAACATAAGTGTGCATAAATAAAAAAAAATTCTGAACAAGATAGCTTCACTAACCTGAAAGGAAACATACATACTTTCTCCAGTGGATATAATAATGAATAACTTTTAAGTCTTTTTAGTTTGCATAATTTCAGAGTATTTTGAAAGCTACCATTGTTTTGTTTCTTATAAGAAACAATCTTGTAGTGTTCCTGTGAAATTTTACATGTTTTTATAATAAAATTTACATAACATTTAATAAGAAAGTTAAAGCTACAAGTGTGAGCATTTTTCAAATGAAAAGGACAAATTTATGCATCATTACCAATATACATGTACATGTATACATGCTTCAGAACTAACAAAGTTTTCAAAATGGTATTTAGCAAGTTCATCTAACTGATGTGCAGTTTTAAAAACTGTATACTGTCTCTCTTCTAAATTGATAATGCTTCCCCGTAACATGCACATGACATTATAATACTTAATGTACTGTTTCTTAACAGTTATCATTTAGGAGCATTTATTGTATACTTCTGGTTTAATATCAGCAAGAAATACAGTAATATTGAAAAATTTTATAACCCAAAAAATGTGTTAACCTAAACATTTCTTTTATCATCAGAATAGCTTTAGTATGTGAAGCATACTAAGCCTTTCTTTTCCTTTTAGTTTAGACAAGTTTGAAAGTGGAAAATATTCTGGAATGTAGTGAACTTGCAGTTGTTCTAGTTACTTATTGTTATAGGAAGTTCCCTTTAGTGTCACTTAAATTTTCCCATGGAAGAGGTTCATGTCAAATATGTAGATTAGTTCATTATATTGTTTTAGTAGTGGCTTTAACTATGTGGTAAGTTTATAATTTTTCATCCCACATGGAGACCATATTTTTTCCTGATTTTTCAAATATAATACTATATAATGTTTCCTGATATTATCCATAAAACCTACAGTTCCTGTTCTTTCTTATAAGGTAGGGATGGGTGATATACCAATTGAATTGTTAAAATTGTAATTTTTTTTTCTTGCTGTTATTAACATTTAATTATAAATGCTGTGAGAAATTAGGTTAGCCTTATATCTTCCTTCAGATCCAGGCATCTGTTGGTATATAACCATTACATATAATATCATAGCATTACACAATTATTACATTACACACACAAATTCTGTACTCACATTTGGCAAAATTGTTTTCTCTATGCATAAACTACAGTGTATGATGTAATGCAAGAGTCACATGATATTAGATGTACAAGATGTTTATTGTTGAAAGGTTTGTGATGTATAGTTACATTAATTATTGGAAACATGACAAGTGTATACTAAGCTGTAGTATATAAATACTTATTACAATACAGTACATTACTTCTGCTCACATAAATAGCTATTCTTGTTCAGTGCTACCTTCTATATGCAAATTTATTTTTGCATGCCACAAGCCTTGAGCTCCCATGTACCCCAATATCAATGTGATTCACCTGTGTTTCGCATGCAAATCATCATGCAACAATTCTCCTCCAATAGGAATGCAGCACACCTTCCTGAGGCACGTGACTCCTTCTAATTGATTCTGCCTAACAGTCACTTATCTTTATTGCTCTTCACTTTTTTTGGTTTTCACCGAAGTTTATGTTTCCACTTCAAAAATGTTTTCATTTACTTCCAGTACAGTTACCTAGGCTTCAGGTGGTGGTACTTGACTGAGGAATTGTCAGCTTTAGTACATTGGGAGATTGATTGTAATATGAGTTGATCCACACGTTTGGGTCCGCTGACTTTGGACAGATAAACTGTTATACTGTTATAGTTTTTGAATATTTTGATATTAATATTATTATTTGTAGTCATTTGGTTTCAATAACATATGTTTAGTTAATTTGTACCTACTTCTTGTAAGGTTAGGGTGTTTTGATTAACATATAGTGATATCCTTTTGTACTACAATGTTAGTTTAGACTTACCATGTGTCTTTGTAATTTTAGGCTTACCTGTCACTCATCTTACTGGTAAATTGAAAATTAGTTTAAATATGTTTTCTTCAACAAATACCATCTACTAAATTGTTTATTGTCAATATATACTTAATTTTAAATATAACACCTTTTTCACTTTCATAATTAATTATATTTTATACTTCTTACAATTAATTTCGTTTTTGAGGACCCCTGGGTCTGGGGTCTTCCCAACCTTCTCCCACTATTGCTCACCTTCCTCCTCAAACTGCCAAATTCATTCTGGATGATATCTATTTTGACAATTTTCCTCCACCTGATTATGAATTGGCCTTTCAAGGCCTCTACTGTGGAGTCTGCTAGGGATACCTCAGCCCTTTCTATACACGTTTCACAATTGTTGTTGTTCTTTTCCCTCCTTTTCAAGACATTTTATTTTTAGTTCATGCTGGTCCTTTTTGTCTTACTTTTGAGAGATAGTGCTGCCATGCCTCACCATCCACGGGCTTTGGTTGATTTTGCCTTAGCTTACCATCAGGCAGAGTGTTTTTTGTTTTCTTGCTTCTCTGCACTTTGTGTATCTGTTACCTGTATGGGAGGCAGAATCTGTTAATCTTATTCCTCTCTCTCTAGCCAAATTTTCCAGCTTTCCTCTTCCCCTAACACCTCTCCTATTGGTATTAGCCACCCACAATATACTTCCTTTCTGAGGTGTTCTATCTATTTATTGGAGATTTTCATAGGATACCTTCTCCTTCTCACCTCCATGTTGGGGTGATTGCCATCTTTGGCTCTTTCCCTACAGATGTAGCTTCTTTGCTTTTGGGATAGGACACTGTCTTGTTCCAAATTCATTTCCCTTCCACTTCTAATTGGGACTTATGGACTGCCCTCTTCCTCCACTGGCCCATTTTTTTGGGGGGAATTACTTCTGTGACTTTAGCATCATGTGGGGTATCTGTATTGCTACATTTGATTTTTTTCTTTTTTGATTGCTCATTTTTCTCTAGCCATTGCATTTTTTATTCATGTTCAATGTCCAGCACTTTCCCGTCATTTACCTATCCTACATCTAAACGTTCCTCTGTTAGTCATGTATTCTTGATACAGATTGGAGTTCTGTGATTGATCTGTTCCACCTCATTCACTTCCTGATTCTTTCCCTTTTTCCTATATTGTCCTTTGTCACATTATGGTGTGTTTTTTCTCCAGGACTGAGAATGCCCACAGTCGATGTTTTGTATTCTTATGTTCACGTTTCTATTTTTCATTGCTCGTGGTGGTGTCTTAAATTTGTTCACCATGGGCTTTGGTACTACTTTTGTGCCTTGCCCTTTGAGCTTGTTTCAGATCTGTATGTTTTTGCCTCCGGTTCCTCATCCACATGCCTTGGCTGTTGATGCATTCAGACAGGATTGGGACCTACTTATACAAATATTTTCTTGTCCCATTCCTCATCCTCCCTGGGTGATTTTGTTCATCCTTGCCATTCTGTGTCAAGTCTGTCTGATTGCTCCTTCTTGGCTGACACAGATCTGGTTTTCTCAGATGCTTCAGCTTGATCTGCCTTTCTGTTCTGGATCAATTTTCCTATTCTCCACTTTGGTAGCTCATGGAGTGTGTTCTTCCTTATCTTCAATTTTGTTTCCTTCTATCTCCCACTTTTAATCCTAGTTGGATCCAGTTGGCCTTCTATGTTCCATACCATGTTGCTTCTTTGCCTTCAAGGCTTCTTTCTGTTGGTTCCTTTTCCTGCTGTTTCATTTCCTGGCACCACTCTTCTGTTTGTGACTTTTTCCTTCCTCCCTTGCCCTTTGGATTTGGCTTTTGATTCGATTGGCCTTTTCTTTCTTGTCTCCTTTTTTCCTATAATCAATTCCTGGTGTCTTCACTCTGATTATGCACCTTACCTTTTACCTGCATCTCACCCTCATTGTACATTGGAGGTGTTTCTTCTGTTGAGCACTGGGACTACATCTATGTTTATCTCCCATTATCTGCTTCAGGTAGCTGTTTCTTCATCGTTGGGGTACCGTCTTCCACCTGTCACCATCCTTCACTCTTCAGTGAGATTGTAACTGGGTAAGATACCTTTTTGTATATATAACTCTTATTTTTCAGGGGCTTATCACTTTTATCTTTGTGGATCCCACTCTGTGGTGAGTGGTGCCTGTCCAGGTATTCTTAAACTAGTCAATACGGCACTGTCAGCCCATGATGAATAAACAGTTATAATTTCCATGGAGTGTTCCATAACACTGCTCGTATATTTTCCTCGCAATATATTTGCTTCATTCACATCCCTGTTCTTGACCACACAAACATATGGATTTAATGGGTAAAGCAAAAGTGGATAGCTGCCCATTCCTTAGATTGAATAAATCAGGAGTGGTCTGCTTTTCAAAATAGGGTTTTTGTGGTCTCCCATTGCACTGTTTCTGGTGTTGACCTTCCTCCAGTCTCTTCACCTCATTTTCTCCCCCCCCCTTTTTTTCTTCTAGTGGAATATTGGAGTTTACCAATTTACAGTTCTAAGCTGTTGGTATGATATACAATGCAACCTATAATAAATCCATTCAGTTGGGAGTAGGGTAGTGGTGTTCTGCTGGTGTAGTTGGCAAGATGTCCTCCAATCTGAAGCTCCATTTCTGAATGGTTTATCTGAGAGGTTGTTGTAGCTTTGGAGTGAGCAGTCAAAATTACAGTTTACCCCTTTGATTGGGATCTCTCATCCTAACCCCACATGGATGTTGATTCCCAGTGGCTGGGTTTTGGATTCAGAGTTGAACCAATCAACATAAGTCCTCACACATGTATTATAGGTGTGTCTGTTTCCTCACTCATTTATACTCTTGTTCTCTCCACCTGTGTTGTGGGTCATGGTGGTGAAACTTGCATATTAATATGGTTCTTCCTCTTATGCTGTACCTCAATGATTCTCTTATACCGAGGATGTTATTGTGCTGGGGGCCATTCCTGTCAGATTGGTTTTGAGTGAGATAGTTTACATTACAGAGACATCTTTCCAATACCAATTGTCTGGTTTCTGGGATCAGTCAAACAATTTATCACATTGCTATCATATGTTCCATTCATAGATCGGGAGGTATGAGATTCCCTCAAGTCTACTGAACTTAGGTGAAAATGGTATGATCATATTTCCTACCCCCACATGGATGTCAGTTCCCAGTGACTAGGTTTTGGATTGCCACTGGTATGATCCTCTTTCCTACCCCCACATGGATGTCTGTTCTCGGTAGCTGGGTTTTGGATTGTAGTTGATTTGCTGGCAGTATGATCTTCTTTCCTACCTCCACATGGATGTCAGTTCCTGGTGGCTGGGTTTTCGATTGTAGTTGAGTTACAGATGGTATGATCCTTATCCTACCCCCATGAGGATGTCAGTTCCTGGTGGCTGGGTTTTGGATGCAGTTGGCTTGCTGTATACAGTCCGTTGCATCCTAGCCACTCTACACCTAGAGCCACATCCTTTTATTCTCACCCACATTGATGTACTCTATGGGATTGAGATTCCAATATTGTGTGGTTCGGATTCCTATCCAACTATTGTTTCCCCTTTTGGACGTGCTCCTCTCAATTTCCACCCATGTCTGCAACACCTCTTTCCACACTGGTAAAGAAGTGGTGCAATCTCTCACGTATGATCCTCTACTGTGAGGATCTACTCATTTTGGATGTTTTTCAGATGCTTCCAAAGAATGTTTCCAAAGGAGGTAATGTACCATATCGGAAGTTATAATTTTCCTATACTGAAATTGTATTTCTGATAAGTATTTACCTCTTTCGCACTTCCCATCCTTCCTCCCCACTGAAAACCAGTGCTTCCATTTTCTGCCAAAACTCAAAGTGATAGTTTGGTAGAATGGAATAGAGGGAGTCACATGCATCAGGAGGGTGTGTTGTTGCATTTCTGTTGGTGGAGGGTTGTTGCATGATGATTTGCATGTGAGATGCAGTTGAACCACATTGATCTTGGTGTACGTGGGAGCTCAAGGCTTGTGGCATGAAAAAAAAAAAGTTTGCATATAGAGTTCAGCACTGAACGAGAATAGCTATTTGTATGACAGGAGGTAAGTACCTATCAGGAAAACATTAAATTATAACTTCAGAAACATTTCTTACCTGTTTGCACCACTATGTGCTATTTCCTTGTACACAACTGCAGGGAAATTTCCTGCATATGTCACAAACCTTGAACAAATTCCCACCCCTGAACAATTGTATGTGTGTTACACTAGCATATGGTACAGTCATCATAACACTGTAGTCCTTCACCTATAGGAAGGTGACACAACCCTGTGAGCATTAACACATGATCATAGGCTCATTCTTTCCTCAGATATTCTGTGTTCAGATGTGTTTTTTCCTATGGTTTTTGAGATTCTAGTTGCTTTGATCAACTGCCTTTTTTTCTTTAAGTGCTACATTACTTTTGGCCTCATTGTACTTTCATTTTCTTTAGCCATCACACTGGGAGTACCTTATCTGTATATGGTTTTCCCTTGAGCTCAATTAGTTGAGCAAATGCCTGTCATGTGACAGGTCTCAGATTTCGTTCCATGATGAGAAAGTATTAATATTGGATGAATTTAACTAGCACTATTTTCTGAAGCTGTGATAAACTATTGTATAACAATAAGTTAACTGTTAATGTTTTACCACATAATGCTAACATTGTTGTACATTGAGTGGTTGGTTTCTTTCTGCCTCTTTTTTCTCCATTTCAGGTCCCTCATCATTCTGTTTCATTGCCTTCTGTGGAACCTGCCTTGCCCATGGATGATTTTACCCAGTTTTTTCACCATCAGCCTTTGCTTCTGGCTCTTCTATCCCTGATGAGGAACAGATACTCTTCCTCATCTGTTTCCTATGCACATAAATCGAGTATGTGATGTTCTATTTCTTTCACCTGTTTAGCATACTGATGCTTCGGTTGCTTTATTTTGTGGACCTCCTTCTGTTTCAACTCCTTGTCCTTCTCATGACCCTTTTATATTTCTTTAACCCTAATTTCTTGTATGCCTTCTGTCTGCTTGGGCACTCCTTTTTCACCCTTCTTGTCTCTTTCTTTCCTGCAATATGCTCATCTGTATCTTATCTTTAGTTGACTCTTTTGCTCTATTTCCATCCTTCACACTGATGCTCTTCATTTCAACCCTAACATTTTTAATGGGAATACCCATTCTTATTTGTTTGTTACATTGGCTTCTATTACTTCTTCCTCTACTGTCTCTTTTTTTAATTTGATATCTCTGTTCTTGGGATCTCCTCAGCCTGGAGGATACTTTCCTTTCATGTGTCTTCATTCCTTCTTCTTATCACCTTGACTAAATCAATTCCTTGGAATCTTGGGCTGGGGTTGCTCATCACCAATCTTACTTTAATTCTCTGGTTTCCTGACTCACTAGTCCACAGATAATTACATTAGCTACCTAACCTCAAGAGTCCTATGGGGCTACCCCGTTTCCTTGTTGCTTGTACTTGCCATTCCATCTCCCACAGGGCAGGCTGTCATAACCTATTAATGGAACTTTATCTTGAGGGTGATTCTTGGCTCTGGAACCATTGGTGCCCATCTCTTTCTGCATGCATACTACTAGTCTCCCTTCATCAGTGACCCATGCGATATGCAAGTTCTTCCTTATGATGTGTTCTTGCATTTTCATAGCCCATCATCTCTTTCTACTCATCCTATCCCCTGTCCTCTTCCCTCTGATCCTCAGCATTTATCATTTTCTTCAGTTTTTTTTTAATTTTAATTCTCATTCAGGATTGAGGGAGAGGTGGTTCTTGACACCTTTACCCACTCTTGGGAGTCTGGTCTCAACAGGAGCAGTCTCTGCTTATCAACATTCTGGTGATGTCTGCAGCTTTTTGGGCTTGTTAAAGTCTTTGGTCATACTTGTCAGGTCATCTCATGGTGATCCATTTCCACAATGCTGTGGTCATTTCTTACATCAACTGTTAGGGAGGCACCCAATCTTGGAACTTATGCTTTACCTGGCTTTCTGATGAAGCCTGTCTATTTCAACTCTACCAGTTACCAAGTGGCATTATCCATAAGTTTTACCTCTTACTCGGCACTAATTCCTTTCTTTCACCTATTTCCTCTGACTTCTTCAGAGCCTTTTTTGCCCATCGTTCCCCTTGATCAGTCCCTATTTCCATTTTGGTCCCTTGTATGGATCTTCTGGTGCTTATATGCCCACCCCTCATTTGTACCATTGACTTCCTGTTCTTTTATATCTTTTGTCCCTGAAGACCTTATTTCCTCCTTCTACTCACTTGTGGCCATCATTTAAACATTCATGCCTTAGACATGTCCTGTACTTGATATTATAAAGACCTTTCTTTCAAAAACTAGGGCTACCTGGGAAGTTTATGTTTTTTTTCCAACTCTTTCTCTTCTGTTTCCTCATTATACAATTGTTCTGATCTAATTTCTCTTTTATGTCCAGTTAGGGTTGTCCATTGCTATCCCACTTAGACAATTCCCTCTTGTAGAAACTGCCATTGCCTGTTTTTAAAATGGCTTACCTCTTTCCATTTTAACTGATTAGGTTTGTAAACTCATCCATCTTGACATATTCTCCTGGGCAAATTCAAAAGAATGCTATTTACCATCTCATCTCACACAATTTGGCATATAATGGCCTCCTTTCAGTGCTGACCTTTGAAGAAGGTATTGTCGGATGTTATGTGGCCTATACCTAAAACATCCTTTTCAACTTGTTTATTTCTCTGTATGGTTTCTTTTGCCTTTGGCTTTCACCTCCCTTTGCATTTTACAATCACCCAGAGGCTCTTGGGAGATGTGTTTTACTTGTTCATTTTTAATTTCTAGTTCCATCGCCGATGTTGTATGATGTCTGTGTCCCTAATGCAATTCATGACACCAACTGGTGTGTGCAGAATTTTTTTCACATAATTAAAAAACAACAACACATAGCATGTGTGAAAACCAATCACTTAATTCTGTTTCGTGTTATCATATTACACTAGGTTGTTGGCATTGCCTAACAGGTAATGTGTATCTAATATCTGCATCAAGAGTGGGATAAGAGAATTGTTAATTCCACCCACCCCTGCTCAGTGCCTACCACTGAGTTGAAGGTTTTCTGCAAAACTGTTTTAGCATTGTATCACAATATATGATCTACCTAGTCATTTCCACACTTTTCTAAGAAAAAGAAAAAGTGCATCCGGTGTAGCCCTGCCCTATCTTTAGTTGTGGTAATTCATTGTACTGTCTTTCAGTGGAGACCTAATAACAGAAGATTGTGTCTAATGACAATGGTCCACACACACACTCCTGTGTTCTCCCCCCCCCCCTTCCATGCAAGATCCCTTGCCATTCTTGTTATGGAGCAAGGAGACCCTTCTCTGGTCCTAAGTCACTGAGGAAGTTGATATAGAGAGTTTCTTCTGTGGTTGGTGCCTTCTCTCCTGTAAAAGACTGAGTGTTCCCACCTCTCATTTGAGATGTAGGGCTGGAAGTGTAGTACAGAACACCCCTGCTAGAGAATATACCTAGCTATTCCTGATGGGTATGGTATCAAGCCAGATGGGTCTGGACTTTGCTTTGGGACACAAATGTTGTATACTACTTTCTATACTTGTCATTATATTAATTATCTAAAACAATTAACAATAATGAAAAGAAACAACTAAGCAATTCTTGGTGGATATGCCTGGCCAGATGGGACTTAAATTTGACCAGAACAAAAGTGCCTAAAGCCTTACCCACATTATGCATTCATATTTCCATGCAACTTGGCAACAAGCACACACCAACACTGGATTCTTTTTGTGCCTTCCTTGACTCTGCTGTCAATGGCAAATGAAGAAAAATAAAACGAAAATAAAATTACTTAAGAGAAACTACTATGTTATCATATTATACTTGTGACAATTCTAATATTGGGAAGATACTGATTTTAAATGATCTGAAAAGGATACTGCTAATCATTCTATTGCCTTAGATTTTGATTTATTGGACTTGTTTGATCATGACACTTCATTCCAGTTTACTGCAGGGACTTGAAGATGATTGCATGTGTTTTTGTAATGTAGTAAGTGTGTAATGATATGATAATATATGTAATGACTATGTGCCAACACATGCCTGCATCTGAGGGAAGAAATAATACTAACTCAATTCCTAACATATTCTGTCCCACAAAGAAATATAGTTCCTCCTCGGACAGGAGTTACACATCTAACCAACCAGAATGGAAATGGTGCATCCATTGATGAGAGGACCATTCAGTTGTGATTCAAGGGTAGTTATGAGAACAAAGATAACCACCATCATTATTTAGATGGAGCAATTGATTGAAGATGATTGTATGTTAGCAACATACAAAATAAAACTACTATTTCATCCAAGTGAGAAAGAGACAATAAATGAGTTTAATCTTGCACAATCATCTTCAGGGTCTGCATCAAACTGGAAGAGTTTCACAATTAGAATATATTTGATGAAACAAAATCTGAAGCAACAAATTGATTAACAATATCCTTTATGACTAGACAAAATTATGCAAAATATAGTTACTTCACAACATTGTGAAAGAAGAGTATAAAAATACAAAAATATTTTAGCAACATAAAACAGATTGTTCCACATTGTTACAAAAATAAACAACTTAAACTTTTGTGTCACTATCATCTCTTGAATAATTACATCAACTCCAACTATCAAGAAGTGTGCTCCAAACAGTGCATTCAGTGATGAATGCGATGAAGTAACTGCACATCTCACAATGAGTTGAATTGCTTTGATGTCATTATGAGAAAAAGGAATAGAAGAAAGATGATTCTTCAGGGATAAATATCAAGACATGAACCACTAGAAGAATGTATTAGAAGAACTACAAATCTTTGTAGACAAGTTTAATTTAAAGACAGCACAGACAATAGACGGTGCTTGAGAGGGAACATAAGGTGCTAGTGTGATGATTTAGTTCTGTAACATGATGATTAGGTCATCTACAGTAGCCTCAACTACTTCAATAAGGAACTGTTTATTAACATAGAAAGATGATTTACACTAGACAATTCATGAACACTAGACGAGTGAAATAAACATACTCAATGATTGATTCAATCAGGCATTGGTAGATCCCCATCTACATGGTATTGCCTGTATAAGCAGTACTAATTTAAACTACTTTTTATTACTTTTTTTTTAAGTTGGCAGTGAAGTGTTTATATACTGCAGATCAGCATTAGAGCTGGATGGTTTAATTAAGTAACTGATGTGCTTGATTACCTGTGAACATCATTTACATCATTTAATGTCACTTAGTGATTTTGATTATTTTAATTGTTACAAAAATAATCAACTAATCAAAATTGGTGTTTCTGATTATTCCAGTGATTGATTAATCAAAATTATGATTGAATCAATTGCGACAAAAATAATCATTTAGCCAAACTTTTGGTTTCCAATTAGTATTATCTTTGATTATTCCAACTATCCAAATAATTATTACCACCATCTTGCATACCCTGTCTTTGTTATGGCAAAGCTGTTAAGGGTATCTATCACTAATTTTGAAATGCAGACTAATTTGTTTGTTTTGAATTTTGCTCAAAGCTACGCTAGAGCTATCTGCACTAGCCATCCCTAATTTAGCAATGAAAGACTAGAGGGAAGGCAGCTAGTCATCACCACCCACCACCAACTCTTGGGCTACTCTTTTACTAACAAATAGTGGGATTGACTGTCACATTATAATGCCCCATGGCTGAAAGGGTGAGCATGTTTGGTGGGACAGGGAATCAAACCTGTGACCCTCAGGTTGTGAGTCAAGCACCCTAACCACCTGGCCATGCCGGCCTTGCAGACTAATGGGAAGGCAACTTACTGTCAGCACACA